GTCTGGGGCTTGTATGTAAAAGTTAAATTTTGGATCAATAAGAATATTCTTAAATTCAAGTATTTTGTCAACTCATTTAATGAGAATGACAGTGCAATTGTCAAATAAATTAATTGTGGGTAATTTTTTCCTTTTTCTAAAGAATACAAGTCAATGACCAGATTGTGGAAGTGGATGGAATCAGCTTGGTGGGTGTCACACAGAATTTTGCTGCAACAGTTCTCAGAAACACCAAAGGCAATGTCAGGTAAATATGTGGCTTCATATGTACACAATTTGGTCACTTCACATTTTGTTGAATAATAGTTTCCCCTTGTTTTACTTATAAATATATGCAATTACAATGAAATTTTTATTTGAATACTAAAAACTCTGAATCAATATAGTTAATTATTGGGCTATTTTAATATGCCTTATTGCTAATACAGCAAGAGTTTCTAGGAAGATAGGATTTCTAGTTATAGCCTCAATAAATATTAATTTAGGTCCCTTAATCCTATTAACAAAACCAGTTATACAATAAATTGAAATTGAAGTGATTATAAACATATTCAATGACATGTATTATTTAGACAAGTAAGCTATTGGATTTGAAGCTAACTGCATTTTTAGATCTACTTATTTGTTTTAAAGAATTAGCCAGGACCAAGCGTAATGAACTATAACTCTTCCAACCTAATAGGACAGAGGGGACATTTTTTCAGATCTTGAAATTTATATTTGACTCTTGGGTTGTCAGAATTCTAGTCTGGAAAACAACTAAGAAAGGAGTCCTAAGCCAGGTAAGGTCAAGGTTGGAATAAGTTTTATTTGGTTATAGGTTACTTAATTTTTAAAAAGCACTGCTTATTTCTTATACTTTTTCAAAATCCTATGAATGAACACATTAGGGAACCATTATTTAGTATGTATAATTATGAAAGTGGTTTAGTGTTATCATTATCAGAAAGAAATTGTCAAACCTTCTGAAAATATTAGTGAATTAGCATTGCTATAAAGATTCATCATTAGAATTTCAAATCAAATTTCAGATCAAATTTTAGGGCTGAGGAGATGTTTTAAGGAATACAACCTAAGTGATTCATTTAGGCAGTTTATTGATGTTTCTAGAATACCCATAGTCTTGTGAAAAATATGTAAAATAATTGGAAAAAATACAGGAAAATATGTGCAATGTTCTCTGAGCTTTCATGAGTGAGCTCATCTGTAAATGTGATTGTCCTTAAGGTTACCTTGTGTTCTTGAGACAGCACATTCCTATATCAGTATAGCTGATTATTAGGCCGTAAGATAAATTTTAATATTAAATAAATAAGGTAGATAACAACTTGTAAGAGCATTTCTTAATTGAAAGAGAGTTTGTAGTGACACAAACTCATAGCCATCCCTTTCTGTTTTGACTATTGGCCATATAATTTTGTGTTGGTTATTTCAATACTGTACAAATTTCATATGGCCTCTTAACTGGTCTTCCTGATTTCACTTTCTCCCTTTTTCATTCTGTCCTAATCATTAACCCCTAAAGGAAGAACATCATTGCAGATTTCAAATGTGTGAAGGGATATTGTGGAAAAAGGAATTGACTTTCTGTTTATCTCTAATAATAGAAGAATCACGACTTGAGTAGTAGAAATTTAATAATTCTGCATCAGTCACATCCATCTCTCTTCAGAAACCATCAATCAACACCCCTCCCTTCATTCTGTATAGAATATAAGCTTTTTAGTTTGTGTTAAACATCTTCCATCCTCTGATCTTTTCACTTGACTCTCTTTGTTCATGTCTGGTGCAGTCATGTAGTCATCAACCTTGAGACACGACTTGTGTATTAATTATTTCTCTGCATTTCTCCTTGCCATTTTTTCTTCTGCTTAAAATACTGTTTCCTGTTTAGAACCTACATATCTTGAAGAACATATTGCAACTCTTTTGCCCTCTGGGAAGTCCTCCTTATCCTCCCTCTCTTTTCTGATCTTTTCTTTCTCATAATGCTCATAATTCATACTACTTTTTTGAACTTGAGGTTACAGAGTGTCTACTTTTTGTCTTTAAAATGCATATACTTTATTTCCCCACTCTCTTGGCAAAAAATTTTAACCTACACATGGGATTAAGATCCTGGGCTTCTTCCAAATTATTGAGCCCAAGATCTTAATTTACTGAAATTATACAACACAGGATGTTAATTAACTGCCTTTAAAGAGAAAACTTTTTCTCAGTTTTAACTTTTCAGAAATAATATTTGAATTCTCTGAATTCAAATAGTAGATCTTCACAAAATACTAATACAAAAATAAGCTCCAAAACCTAGTCCTGTGTTAATGATAACTTTTTAAACTGGTGTTTTAAAATATATGTCCTTCTGTATTTTTGTTCATACCATACTTAGTGGTTGTTAAAATGTATTTTAAGTAGGGATATTATCTGGTATATTATCAAGTTTAGCTGGACTTTTTCTGTCTACTAAGCACAGGCCTAAAAGGAATATGTAGAACTCTGGCTTTAAAGATTTGAAACCAGAGGTGGTGAAAAATTAAAACTGAGAATTGAATTGAGATTATTTTTTAAGTATTAAAGATTAAGTTTTTATTTATTTCCTGGAAATGTATATGAAATATATGTCAACATTTGCATATTGATCAGATGCATGTTAAAATCTTATGACTTTACCCACAAGTTTAGAGAATCATTTTCTTGTTTCCTCATGTGCTTTGTTTCATTAATCTTTTAATGATTATACCTGAATGTATGAACTAATAGTATGGATAAAGACCCCATTAGTATGTCGGATTTAATACACATGAGAAAAAATACCCAAATTTTAATATATTATTACTTGTAAAGTCATATATGTTTTTCAACCTTACATTATTTAAATGATATAAAGCATATTAGACCACTTTGAAAAAGTGATTCAGCTCAACCCAGGTTATGTTCCTGGGGAATATTGGAAACTCATGGCTCAAAGCATTGGTGTGCTATTATTGTTTCCCTCATTTTATTGACATCATTTAAAACTAACTACTCACAATGAGTGCTAGTCATATTAATTTCCGTAAATATTTAGTTAAAGAAAAACCTCACAAGTCGAAGCAATTTACACTCAATGTGATGATAGTCACAGGAGAAAGACATGAAAATTAAAAGGTAAATATGGATGACTCAAGCAACAGTCTTCCTTTTCTTCCTCTATTGGGACTCATAGGAACCATTGCTCTCCAGATTTTAAATCACCACAGTTATATGCCCAAGTCACCTTGGTATTCAGGAGCCCAAAGTCTGTGTGTGGTAGGTATCCCTCATAGTGAGCTTGTCACATAGGTACATTTCCACTTTATGATTATCTTTGACCATTGAAAACTCCAGGGTGCATTTATTTCTCAGTGTTCTCCTAAGAAACAGAACCAACAGCAGATAGTTATAGATTGATAGATTTGGGGGGCTGGCTCATGTATTTATGGAGACTAAGAAGACAGCTGGCAAATCCAATGGGTAGATAGTACCAAAATGCCCATGTTTTAGATGAGGGAATTGAGGCACAGGAAATACTTGAGTAAACTCACATAGCTTGGAACTAGCTTGGAACAAATTGGAGAGCCAGAAACTGAGTCAGTGAGGTCTAGTGTCATGTGTAAAAAAAAGCAGTTATCCCAGAAATCTGTCCTTTGTCCCTGGTCTCGACACCATAGAGACAGTGAATATATTCAATATTATTCATAGTTTATAAAAGAGTCAGCTTTATGATACTTATTTCTTATTTTGTTTCTTTATTTTGGTGTGGTGAGGATTGAACCCCCAGCCTGAGCCACACTCCAGACCCTGCTTTTATCTCTGCTAGCTCTAATAAAATTCAGAACACATATTTTTTCTCTTATTTACAGAGATTTAAGACAAGAGACTGAATCAGTTTTGTTTAAATGTGAGAGATTACTGATAAAATGATAGCAGATAAAGTTGTATTTTGTATTAAAAAATACTTTTAGTTTTGTATAACTTTAAACAATCTGTAAATATCTATTGATTCTTTCTATAGATTTTAATTGGTTTTTATCCTTTTCAAATTACTTTATATTATTGTCTTTTAATGAATTTATAAATTCTAGTTTAAGATTAGTTTTCCCATAACTAAACATGGACCAACAAACATAATTTGGCTTTAAAAGATCTCAAAGAAAAACATCATTTAATATATTATGAACTGTGGATAGGTGGGTAAAACTGCTCATATAACATTCTGAGTCTAACCTGTTTTTAAATTATCTTTATGTAATACAGAACCTGAGGATGAGAACAGAAGTTTATTGTAACTTGTTAACTAAATTAAATTAGTGAAGTCATATCCTGTCAATACCACAGAGACTGTAGGTTTTTAAACAACTCTTAAAGCATTTTCTTTAGGTTTGCACCATGAATCACTAAATACATAATAAAAACATATGAAATAGTATTAGTCTAAAGTCAAAAGAAGAGAGCTATAAATGCATTACATAATTCGTATTGTAAAGCATTAGTTAAAGTAGATCTTATCTGGATTTATCAAGTGCTTATTTCAGAGTTATCCAGAATGTGATATTGATCCTTGATGAAAGTATGAAATATACTATTTAGGGATGAGGCAAGGTATAGCAGCCTATTGAAATGGTTTTGAAATACTAATTGGATTTAAAACATACCTGGATTTGGTGTATAACAAAAACAGAAGAGTTAATATGTCAAATTGATTGGGCTAAGTTATGCCCAGATAGCTGGTAAATCATTATCTATATGTGTCTGTGAGAATGTTTCTGGAAAAGATTAGCATTTGAATCAGTCAGCTGAGTAAGGATCACCCTCACCAATGTGGGCAAGCATTATCAAATGCAGAGAGCTCAAAAAGTTAAAAAAAAAAAATAAAAGATGGAAGAAGGGTGAATTCAAAAACTGTGTTTGAGCTGGAAAATCTTCTGCTCTTGGACTTTGGGACTCCTGGTTTTCAGGTGTTTGAACTCATTCCAGGATATACCCTATTGGCTTCCCTATATCACATGATACACACTTGGCCAGTTACTGTTTATCAAGTCTCAGTTCATAAATCATTTCTTTAATGGATGAGTTCTTCTCATATTATGCTATTTATGTTATCTAAACCCCACATCAGTCTCTATCATATTGTCATTTTTTTTCCAAATAGTGTTCATCTCATGATACTCTATCTTTCTGGTGTTGACTCTCTTTTTTGATCCCCTAACAAATTGATTCCTGTCTAGG